AAAAAATAATTAAAAATAAAAAAAAAAAAAAATGAATTCTGCTGCTCCCCGCACACAGTACTTGCATGTATATTCTCTTGCAAACGGCGCCCATGTGAGCTTTGCAGACCTCCAGTCTACCACACAATGGGGGAAGTAGAAACATTGCACAGCACTGATGGGTGTCATTTCCAGAAGCTCAAGGCAAGCGTGTGATGACGACTTCACGTTCTGTACCTCGGAGGTCTACAGGGAATGTGGCCATGAATGTCTGGGTGCTGAGGATGTGTTGGGTGAAGCTGGGGGTGTCATTCATCTTGGGGAGTGAGGCGCCTCTAGTGGACCAAAGGGGAGTTCCTGGGGAGGAAGCAAGAACTGCAGCGAAAGCTATATTTTTCATTTCAGTAGGGGTGTTAGATTTAGAGCTTTACACTACTGGATTGTGGATCAGCCCATCTTGGATGCATTAGGGGATTGCTGTGCCATTCATTTCCTAAACAAAGCTGTGTCACCGCAGGGAGACTTATCTTATTTTGTACATGAGATTGGTTACATGAGATTGGTTACATGAGTGGTTAAATTGGATTGGGATGCCTAATGCAGTGTGCCTCAACTGTGTACATGAGAATGTGTGCATTGTAGCACACTGTGTTCTGCTATGAGTGAGCCCTAGACGTTTTTACTTTTTTTTTTTTTTAAGCTTGAGTTGGGCTTCAGGGTGAACACTCCAATACTAACTACTACCCTGTTTCCCCGAAATTAAGACCTAGTACCATTTTTGGGAATTGCTAAAATATAAGACCTACCCCGTTCGGCAGTGGATGGAGCAGAGCCGCATACGCCAATGCTTCCTCTACAGCGCCGGCTCCTGTCACAGGCGGAGTGATACCAAATGCACTCCGCCTGTGAGGAGATCGATAGTGAAAGTGCGCTTCGCTCATTCTGGCCAGCAATTGGTTACAAAATTGCCCTTGGAAAGGTGCGGCACCCCTGATTGCCCTGATCACCCTATTCTTAACTTTGCCATTTTGGATTATTTAATTTGGATTTGCATTCACTTTGGATTGTTGTACATTAAAAAAAAAAAAAATTAAGACCTACCCCGAAAATAAGACCTAGTGTATTTTTTTTTGAGCCAAAAAAATATAAGACAGTGTCTTATTTTCGGGGAAACACGGTATGTTCGCTAAGAACAAAGTTTTCTAAGTATCAATTATGAGGTCTCCCGCTTACAGAGAGCAGCTGGAACTTTTTCTTAACTGCTGATCAGTAGCAGTTTCTTAAGGCTGCTTAGGGCAACTGGGCAGCCCCGGGGGTGGTAGGTCCAGAGCTGTTGGGGTACTGGTATAACGGATCCAATGAGGGTTCCAGACAGTACAACCTGCTGCCTCTCATGGGAGGTGAAAACTGCGCTTTCAGTACACACTACCATGTTAAACACATCTGACCTACATTCCCAGTGTTGGGGTTTTTTCAGCACAAGATACATCCAGTAGTGTGTACTTCACCCTCATCTATAGAAAGAGAAGTCCAGTGCCTCTGTGCATCACTCGGCTGTAGATCCTCAAAGCATCTCTGAATAGGTGCTGACATTGTCCTTCCTTCTGGAGGGTGGATACTTTAGTTCCTGTGTGTGTTGTAAAGTAGCCACCGCTTCAAGCTCACTCCTGTGATGGACTACAATCTCATGTTTAGTTTACTAATTTGTATTGAGATTGTAATCCATCACAGGAGTGATCTTGGAGCGGTGACCACTTTACAACACACACAGGGACCATGTGGAACAAAAGTAGTCACCCTCCAGAAGGAAGAACAGTGTCAGCACCAATTCAGAGATGATTTGAGGATCTACAGCCGAGTGATACAATAAAAATGTATCTTATTTGTATATCTTTTATACTTATACTAGGTACTTGATGTATTTTTAATATTTAACCCCTGAGTGTAGTGTCACTTAAGAGTTTTGCTGAATAGTGCACAGAGAAATCTAAGAAGCCTTTTGTTAGTTTCCAATAGTGTGTGTGTGTGTGTGTGTGTGTGTGTGTGTGTGTGTGTGTGTGTGTGTGTGTGTGTGTGTGTGT